GCGGCGGCAGCCGTGCCCCAGGCAGCCCTGCCAACCCGCCCCCCAAACAGCCGAAGGGAAACTGGGGGCCACGCATTTGGCAGGTCAGAGGGTTGTCCCTCGTGGGCCGAAGGGCAAAGCTGAACAGGCATGGTGTTGAGGAGGGCCGAAAAAACTACTTGCTGTGATAGCTGACAGGTATGCGCCTTATCACACTACCTACCCTGCCAAATGAGTCTTGGTTTTAGAAAATACACATCATGATTTTAACCCTTATTACTAAAAAGAAGATTCTTTAAATAAATCCACAAAGAAGAAGAAGATGTGCCTGAATAGTCCGCAAACATCAAATTAAGCACCCCTTCCCATATACTCCCCTTTCAGTTTGTACAGCTGCTGAAAACAATGAGACTGTGCAATTTTTCAAATACATTAGCAGCTGAAATTATTAGTTCGATAACTACGACAGTCAAATACTGTGCAGCCAGTACTGGTTTTCCTTTCCCACTAGTGTTACGTCTGAGAATACCCTGTAATTTGCTATCTGACAAATTTGCTATCTACACGCCATCCCTGTTCCCTGGCAGACAAAGCTGCCGCATACTGCAAGACCAGGCAGGACAAGGGATTCAGCCTGTTGTAATTCAGCAATCAACTTGCAAGAAGGAAGGGGCTAAGATTACTAAAACTTCATTGCTCTTCGTATCCCCCATGTACAAAATAGGAAGCACTCGAGGATGGTTCTAAGTTCTCAAGAACTCATTGGTAAATCAAAAGCTTGGGGCTTTGATTTGCATGAATGCACTATGCTAAAGCCTTGCTGCTCTCATATGAATGAGGGGAGGGTGGAGGAATGGAGAAGAAACCACCAGCTTTCTCAGAACAGCTGACTTACAGGAGAGTTTAGGAACGGTGCTCTGAAGTACTATGGACTGTAAACGGAGTTAGTGTCCTATGCAGGCAACATCTCACTTGACCATCATTTCTCCTCCCAACCTAGACCTGAAGGTGCTAATGCCTCTACTTGTGAAAGGAGCTGTAACTTGAAGACCAAGACAATTACAGTAAGTAACATTTTTACCAATGTCTTCAATGGAATCAAGATTTGGCATTTAGCTGTAATGATTCCACTTACATGTTTCAATGCAAGTTAAAAAAACAACTAGCTGTATCATATTAATGAATTTATTCGCAGTCACATTTTCAGGGAAAAAAGAACAAGCTTTGTACCACATCTTTAGTTTAGATTTTGAACTCAAATTTGCACTCTGTTTCTTACCGGATAATTTTAAAGGGTATGCGCTATAAGAACATAAAGGAAGACCCTAAATATATTTTCTTAACATTCTCTCAGAAAATTCTATGGCTTCTGATTTCTGATACATATGTGCAACTAATAACGATAATTAGTTTATTTTCCAAAGAGAATTATTATGTTAATGTTTAAATTAGTTTATAATGCATAATCTAATGAATACATATAAAAGCTACACTAGAGAGCTTTTTATTATTGTAATAATTTTAATAGCTCATATTTGATTGCTGGAGGAGACCCAAAAAAATAGTTACACAAACAGGTATACATACCTCAAAAAAGCTCTCCACATACTGCAGTATGTACACTCCACAATCACTGAAGTTGTTCTGTTGTGGCACTTTTGGGTTGGAACCTTTCATGACATCTTTGGAAAAGCTTCTTTTGTTGCCTTTCCTGACTTCCCATTCCACCTCTAAATATCTATGATAAAAGACCATGCAAATTGAAACTTTTTTTTGCCTGCAGAATTTTGCCAAAAAAACCCCCAAGCCCCCACAAACCAACAAAACCCAAAAAACAGATATGAAACTTACTCCCGTAGGGTTTTCACAACATTTGACCGGGAAGGGCCTCTCAGTGAGTCCATAAGCAAAATGCAGGGTCTAAGAGAAAACACAATTTTTAAGTACAGAATATTTTACAGCAGTTTGGAAAACACAACGTTACACAGCTAGCCAGCTATGAAGTAATTTGTGGGATGACCTTGAACAAAACTAGATCAATACCATAAAGTTTTGCCAGAGCTGCTGTGATGCCCTAACTGGGATAGCTAAATGCAAACTTATCTTTAGATTTAACCATACACTAAGTACAGAGAACTTCGCAATGCACTTAGAAAATATAGTACTGTCAGACTGAAAGCATTTGGTACAGGCAAAATCTAGTTGCCTAAAACGCCCCCTTTTAGACGCACAAGGTATCTGGGACACTGGCAAGAGACTATCAAGTAAGGCATAGAACCCATAAACATCCTTCTGAAGTAGCAGCTGGAGGACAGATGGGACAGCCCACAGTACCTAAGGCGACACTATAGGTATGCGTATTTTAGAAGTGATCCCAGCTAACGAATCTGAAATCTACCTGATAGTTACCCACAAAACACACCCATACTCTATTTGATACACTTTAGAAAAATAACGTATCCATAAACAAACATTTTCTAGAGAACCAAGTCTCCTTGAACACTCTCTTGCACACTACAGATGCTTACATCCCATCGCTTGATCTAGAGGATACTACCTTTGCAGCAGGTATAAACATAACAATCATATCAGCTGCCTTATATGCAACAGCTGGATTTATACATCAAAGCTAACTCATACCAGAGTTCAGAATCTCAACATTAGATGCAAGATGTATTTTGAGGGATAAATAGGATGCAAATTACTTTTCACAAAGCTCTGCTTTCTCTTTTCTAATGATAACACACATGCATTCAGACAAGGCGTCCTTTATAGAAACTGCAAACAGTAAACTCAGACAAAATATCTGCATGCATTTATGTATAGGTTTGTTTACATTTATAAATTATTTTACATGTATGCAATTTTTTAGGCATAAGCATATAATCAATTGAATGATGTTTGCTTCTACTTGTACTTGTTTTAATTTCTGATAAAAGAAGATTATTATTTATATAAGCAATGTTCTTTAAAAATGCACAATCCAGTACTTGGGGGCGGGGAGGCGGGGGGGGAAGGGGAGGAAAGAAGTGCAAGTCTTTTCAAGGGAATTTTCTTTTTCGTATAGAAGTAATTTAAAAATATGCTAATAGTAAAGTATTTAAGTGCCCTTAATGACTTTTGATACTTAAATGTCAAAGATCTTATGACACTTCATGTTTGGATTAAAATGACGTCTGGTGGAAAGTATTAGGTACAGATAATCCATCATCAGAATGGGACAAATTTAGCCGAGCTATAATCAGAAGCTCATAAATATGCTTAAAACTCACAACACAGATGGATTTTTACCCCTTCATGAAAATGTATTGATGGATTTTTACCCCTTCATGAAAACGTATTAAGAACAATTCATACACATTCCATATCATATATAAATATATAATTTTATCCTGCACCATAAGAACGTGTTGTGAAAGCCTTTACCTTTCTAGTAACCATTATATTCACAAAGAAGGAAATATAAAAATGGACAAATAAATTGCAAAAAAATACAAATGAAATTGTGACGGCAGCAATACTAGTAACAGTATTTCCAGATTTGGAATCATGCATTTCTGTCACACCAAAATGCAAGCAACTGCAGTCAATGATTATTAATAAATAATTTCTGGGTTTCAAACATCAAAAAATACATTTTAAGAGTTTTAAAATCCAAAACAGGTAAAAAAGTAAACAAAAAAAAAAGTAACCGAACTTAGTATTGTGGAACATTCTTATTAGAGAAAAAAGAATAATACTAAGAACAGAAAGAGACAATAAAGAGAAATAGCTAGAACACATTTAGATAAGAAATGGGGGCAGTTAAAAATTATTCCCATTTTCCTGTACTAATTTGAGTGGTGGAAGTTAATTATTTCCATTTAAAGACATTATTCTTTTTTTTTTTTTAATATAGAAGGATACATTTAAACATGCTTCTGCACCTTCTTTTTGTAGGAATCTAAGTGCAAGATATCAAAGAACAGCATTATTTGAAGAAACAATCTTCAATTGCCTGAAGCAGCACACAGGCTTAACAGAAACCCAAAAAGCTATTATTTCACTTGTAGTTTCACTCATTAAATTTTCTGCTCACTGAAGATGATGATACTACAAAGTGTAAAATTCTCTCTCAAACACTAATAATATGCCGATTAAATTGTTTGAAGACTGATGTATGACCATTTCCCATAATTACCGTCTTTTAAATTTCATAAACTTTTATGAAATTTCCATTTTAACTGTTTTAATACTTACTGTTTGCAGATAGTAGGCTTCAGGTGCCATTGTCCCATTTCTGAATTACAGTTATCATCTAAAAGGCCACCATCATCACTACTGTCTTCCTACAGAAGCAACATGTTTACAGGTGCTTAAAAGCTAATATTGTTTTTCAAACAGATGCAAAAGAAATTATTGCTATACTTACCATTTTTAGTCAAGACCAATAACATAAGTTTAATAAAGAAGTGGTAGCTTTAATCTGAAACCATTCATTGTTTGTAAAGTTTGCATTACCAACTTTTAGTCACATGATTTCTCAAATCCATGCTGGAACGACATGGAGTGAACGGTGCCATTTATTTAACAACCGCTGAAACTACAAAAAAGCTGCAACTGACATTTTCAAAGCATTGCTGGCTTAAAAGAGGTGCATCTCTACTATCTGGTTATAATCTAAATTACCAATAGTTCCCCTTGCTAATGATTACCAGAAACTTGCTTGGTGGTTTCATGTATGTTATCTTCTAGATGAAAGAAGACAAAATCTGCAATGAACTCAGCATTGCTCCAGCATGCACCAACTTGGTTCTTAGGGCAAGGGAAATTAAACTGCCATGATATTATATATCACGGGTTGCAAAACCAGTCATGCCACAAGCCTGGGAATATCCTTTGACCTTTTGATTTCAATATTGATTGCTATGAAGGATATGGAAGTTTTATGAACAAAATCACTAAGTTCTTGTATCTAAAAGTAACCCAATGATCCATGATTTCTTACCCTTCTACTGAGTTCACTATTATTACCACAGACCATTGCGTTATAGGGAAAAAGATGCCTTCCAAAAATGGGAACCCCCGTATCAGCATGATTTGTGAAATTTTTGGTGAGAATTATGTACACTTCACTTACATGCAGAATCCTAAATCCTCATGCTATGCCATGAAGATGCTGTCGTTTTAGAAACTACTGCCTAGTTCCTAATACGCTTGTTTCTGTTGCAGCCTCAACTCCATTTTTGGCAAATGTGAAGGTGCACTCAGCCTGTCATGGTCTATAATTTCTACTTGCTTTGTGCATTCTAGAAGATATCAGTGACAGCTTCAGTCCGAGTTAAGTTCTAAGCTACACTGCAACTAGGGAACTTGGCATCTTTTCCTCCTCTCAAGGAACACAGCTGGCCATGTGCTTTCTTCCCTGCCTTCATGCCACGTACTTCAGATTGGAAACACTCTACTACTTTTCAGGGAACTCTAACTGCTACAAAACAGAAAAAAAGGCACTTCCATCAGGCGAGAAGCACAGAATGTTTGGGCAAGTGGCATGACAGGAGAGGTGGGTTGAGGCTGTATGAAAAGCATAGTTAGGTTTCAACATAAACTGGAGCTTTTATATGTGTGTACACATATACATACTATTTGGAAGCCATTACAAATAGCTACAGACTTTGGAAAATAATTGTTTGTTCTGGAATCAAAGGTGAAAAATAGGTAATTCCTAGACTGTGTATCTGATAGCCTCAGATTCTTTATTTCAGACAACTTGGAGTCATACACCTGGAACATGAACAGGAAGGCCAATTAGGAAGAGTAAATGTGTAACTCCTAGCTTGCTCACATTAAACTTACACTGTAGAAGCAACAAGGCTATGAAATAATGCCCTCATACCCAGTAGTGAGTCAGTAAAGGACATTTTAATGGCCAGTCTTTCAACAGCTCTAAAATCTAAATGTCTTCCAATTAGAACAAGGACACTACTTGTCCATAAATCCATGTTGTTTAAATTTGATTAGGAGAAGCACCGATGAAACAAAACAGCAGAATAGCACCTACTTATAAACGTGTCTGTTTATGTCCAGGAAATGCAGCTGAAAGAAGAGTAACTTGTTCTTGGGTCTGGCAGATAAACATGGGGGTGGGGCAGATGGAAGATAGAAATGTGTTGACTTTCAGAGTTTCCACTAAAATCAGTGTGTAATATTGTTGCTATGCAAGAGACTCACAAAATTAAATGCAGGATCAGTACAGCAGTTTCCTATTAAACAGTTTAATGAATGAATGTACCTTCCTCTCCTGTCAGCTAATTTGCAAATTTTTGTAGGTAACCAGTGCTTTGGAATTGACACTTGTAAAGATAACTAGTTTTAGACAATGCATATTTACAATGTGTATACAGCTTTTAAGCAGCCCATTCAAAATACAACACAACAGTTCACATTTCCCAAATAAAATTGCTAAATTCTTTACCTGGTTATCTTGGTCTTCAGAAAAATCTATAAGCTCATCTTCATTTAGTTTACTGCCATCAGCTGAGTCTTCACTATAGTTTAGCCTGATTTTGTGCAATCCATCTGTATCAATCACAGATTTTTAAACATCAAATACTATGTCATCATTGAAGACCAAACTAGCTTTAAATACCTTAGATTTGCTCAAGATTGCTCACAATAACTGTGATACAGCTGACGTATTTTATTCATGCATATGAACAAAAGCAAAAAGTTTCTTCTAAGTAACACAGCAGAAACTGTTCCTTATTCTTTGAAAAAAATTCTAAAGACCTAGACTAAAACCCACCATGAAATTACCCTGTAGTTCCATGAAGCCTTTATAAGAGTATACATTGGTACTGCTACCAAAAGGGGCAGTCTCATTTGGTCCCTAATATAACTGCTTATCCCCATCCCTAGCTGGTACCTTCCATGACACCAAATACATCCACAAACAGTGGACCAGACTGAGAAAGTCAGTCACAAGCTTATTATTTTTTTAACTTGAATCAGTTCCTTGATCAGATTTTCTGTGCAATTATATGAAGACTTGTGCTGGTAAAAGGGAAAAAGCAGCTTGGGAACACACTGGTAGGGAGGGTAGAATGCAGGATCAGCTCTCCTGGGAGCAGCAGCTTAGAACTTCACTGTTTGCTACATAAAAAGAGTATGTGTAAATTCACGCCCTACCCCCTCTACATATTTAGTCACTTGGGAAACAGCATCAGAAGAAATAAAGAATAATGAATGTTATGGTATACCTGTGAAAGAAGCAGATACAGACAGCTACAGGCTCACTAGTCTTACTATATTACCATGCAAGACTTCAGAACAGATTTTGAGGGGAAAAATAATAAACTATGTGGAAATATGTGAAAAATTAATAACTCATGCCAGCAAAACTTGAAATCTTCATAAGAAAACTTTTCCTAGAACAGGGCTATATAATATATCTAAACAATCACATAAATAAATGTGTTGGTTATGGTGTCACTGGAGGACATATTACTTATTAAAGAAAACCAGGATTTCTCTAAGAACAGTAAATAGGGCAATGAACTAGCTAATGGAAAAAATGGAGAAGACCTGCATTTGAGAATACTTCAACAGAGAAGTTGAAGTAACACTTTGGAAAGAGGTTACCAGTGGAGTTCCACAGGGACAAAATTGGAAATTAGTCTTACTCAGTATCTTTGAAAAGACCTTAGCACAAGAAGTAGGCCATATGCTTATTGCTGACAGATTCCTAAAAAATAAAAATTGATATCAAGAAGAATCACATCTTATACAAGAATTGACCAATAAAAGGGATTAGTTAAGTAATTAAAAATATATATATTTTGGATGATTTCTTCAAAGTTACTTAGGTATCAATTCCTACTGATTTACAAGTCCAACACCAGGATTTAGTCTGAGATCAAGACATCTAAGTTTAGGCTCCCATGTATAGTAGGCATCTAGGGTCTCACAATATTAAGCAGAGACCATAATCAGAGCAGAGAGCTACTCAACTGAACAGCTACTCTATGTCTGCTTTAGGGTAAGAAGAGGAGGTCTCTTGGTTTCATTGACTATACTATCAAAGGCACCTGCTGTCTTTTGAGATATCCTAGGATATCAAGGACATACGTATGGATTTGACAGAGTCAAGACTCAAGACCCACACGCTTCTGGAGCAACAGCTGAAGGCTGGGCAGAAAACCCAATGGCCTACATCCCCATCTTCCATCTGGTTGAAATGGAAGTTTAGATACATAGCGCATTCAAATTTAGCTGCCTAAATATACGCTTAGTGTCAATCTCAAACTGAATCTCACCCCTAAACCAGGACTGTGACCTGTAAGAATGTCTGCATTAATGAAAGGGTGCATCATCTGCAATAGCTGAGCAAGAGAGTCTGAGTGTTTTAGTAGCAACAGAATGACCATCAGCCACCAATACAATGCAGCCATAAAAAAACCAAAAGAAATGTAATCGTAGCAAAAATATATGTCATAAAGTACGTTCCAACTAATTACAGACAAGTAACAGCAGCAGCATCCAAGACATATGAGACCATAACATACACCAGCAATATCATAAACAGTAACAATCACACATAAAATGAAAAATCAATTCAAACGAGCAGATCTGCACACACCCCCAATCCCCCCTGCCAAGACCTTCTAGAAGTGACAATGTTATCATAAATGAATAAATTTAGATTAGAAAGTAGGAGAGTGTTTATACCCACAAAGATATTAAAGTTGTAATGGCCTGCAGTATACGATTAGACCATATGATTGATAATCTTTTCAGATCTTGTACTATAAACTATGCAATTACTTACTGTGTAAATTAAGTCAGTAGGAATACTATCGGTGACTAAGTAAAAGTTTTTGCATGACCAGATGTTTTGTACTCTATGCCTCAAGCGGATCCAAACCTTGCAGTGAGCAGAGAAAACAATCTTTTCCTAAGTCCTTCATCTGCCTTTAAAAGTATGTCAGCTCCTTTGTTCGCTTTGGTACAAACACTGTTCCAGATCACTGAAATCAGCATCCACAGCAGTGATGCATGGAGAATGTAACATGGAGGTCATGTGAGAGAATTTTTTTTAATTACTACTTTCTTCTCAGTCTTTTTACATCCCTTCTATCAAGACATTAAAGAATTTAATGGTGTTGAAGCAAAACCTCAAATGCTAGAAAACACTGGAATTAAGGTTGCTTTCACAATCTTAATTCAGCTCCCCCATGCACATACATTATGAAGATCCATGGTCAACTGCTATTCTTTCCTTAACAATTACAGTCTTAAGTGATGCAAAGTAATATGTACAAAATGATTTTGTGTGGAAAAAAGGTCACACAACTGAAAAATTCATCTGATTTGGGAAAACAGTGTTCTATCTCCAACCTTATGCCATGAGAGTTATGTCAACAGCCACAAAAACATTTTATATGCAATGGCTATAAATTACTTGTATCACAAGCACTCAAACTTCAGCCACATACTAAACTTTCAAAGCATGAAGTTTACACAATTGCAAAAGTAGTAACAGATGTGAAATCTCCAAATTTTTCATTTAAATATGCATATTTTTACAATTACATACCCATAGATTGGCTAGCAGTTGTGAATTCACCCTGTATACCATTTTCATCCGAAGTCCTATGGTCAAGTTTATGGCATGCTGATTCCACAGTGTTAGGTTCTTCCACATCACTGTCTACTTGATTTAGTTTTTTGAAAACACTTTTTCCCCTGCAAGGACTTCTTCTACAACATGAAGACTCACTGTCCTCTGTTTCAGTGTTTGGGTCAATTAAAGCTGTATTATACTTTTTGGTCAACGTCTTCTTTGCTGTGGACTTCGAAGGCGAGTTTTGTGCATCTAACTCATTTGGCAAAGGAGATGGTGTGTTGCTCTCTCCATCTGAAGAGGAAGATTTTATCTGTGCTGTAGCGTTTTCATGATAGTGGGGATTTGGTTCATATTTAGGTTTTTCTAAACCAGGAAAACAGATGACAGCCAAAAACCAGTGGGCACTGCAAAGGAAAAAAATACATTAAAAACTAGCAATTGCATTAATGCTCACAGTTAAACCTTAAGTTGGTAAAAATCAAACAAAAGATTGAGTGCGCGTGCACACACACAAAAAAACCCAAACCCTATCCCCCATAGCTATCAAAGATAGATTGTAATAGCTGTTCGCTTTTCTGAGCAGGTTTTACTAAAGCCTTCACAGTCTTCTCTAAAGGTAAGATTACTCCATGCAAGTAGTCACCAAACAAATTCATTAATATGATGCAGTTAGTTGAAAACAGGTGCCGCCTAAATATTTATTTCAATTTGCTCATACTTTATACATTCTTTTCCTTCTTTGAATTAAAGCTTATTTCTTTTTTAACATTTTCTTTATCACTGCATGCATTAGAGATTGTAGAGTTCGTGTTTTATGGCTCTATAAAGTTTTCTAGTAGTTCAGCACTAACAACACAAGTAGTCAGATCTAACAGAATAGCTGAATTGCTCATATTCTTCCGCCTATGAGATCTTCCAATTGTATATGACACTTCACATTTTTAAAGAAATCTTGTCAACAGTGAATTAAAAAAGGGGAGAAAAGTGTGTTTGTAATGCCATCGACAAGACTGTTTTCCTCCTCACCTGTCACAGAACTGACATTCTAACCCTTTCAGGATCAAAAATAGTTATATCCCCCAACACAGAACAACATTTGCCCCAGTTTCCTCCTTCTCTCCCTCTGTCTCTTCAGACTTCACTGACTTGCCATTCAATTGGAAATGGAGCAGCAGCAAATTCAGGGATTGAGGCATTGCAAGCAGATATCAACTGACCTGATTTAGAAATTTTCTGAAGGTTCTCTGATTCCCTACAGCAAATAACAAAACAGAACCTAGCTATGTATTATGCAGAACCTAGCTATGTGAAGTAAAATTTCAATGTTTTAGAAAAAAGAAAAAGCAGTAGCTAAAAATGCATGTCTAACTGACATATTAAAAAATTAATTAGATGATTATGAAGCCTAAACTCCATCGAAACTCAACAGCAGTTAAAGTAAGTGGCCTTTGAAAGCAGCACGTGAAGTATGGAGGCATTTTGTCTTGAATGATTCACCATGCCTAGTAAATGTATATATTAGGTATTGCCAAACCCTGGAAATTGTGTGTGCTCTATTAATACAGGATTTATATACCAATTATGTAAATAGACTAGCAAATTAACCTGGATCTAAAAAGAAAATAGGTTGTAACTTTTAAAAGAACAACCTATTTCTATTGGAGACTTGAACAAAAAGGACTGTATTGCCAAAGGACACTGATGTGGTCATGGTTAAATCAGCCATATTGTTCTGAAGTTAATTCTCCCCTAGATTCATCCTGACCACTTCCAGCTACTGCAGTTTGACAACTTGTTAGCTGATGAGCCCACATGCCCTAAACTAGTGGTTATGCGAGAATCTGGAAAGACTTTCTGGAAGTAGATACTGAAGTCCAGCAACAAAGTAATCATTTTTAGAATGTACTCTTAAACCAGATGCCAGAATAAATAGTTGTGTCCTAAAAGGAAAAAAAAAAGCATCATTCTAGGCAGCACAGGAGAAGTGTTATCAGGGGCAACCACTAGCAGCATTCCTGTAACGCAAGAAAAGCTCTCAAGTTCTCTCAAGTCCTAGAATAACTTGTTTCACATACTACTTAATTCAAGATACAAAGAAGCAAAAGAAACTCTGAGATTGGTTCTCAACCAGACTAATTTTGACACAATTACAGTTTGAGACCTTCTATAAATAGTAGTGAATGCAGATCTTTCACTGGAACCAAACAAACTCTTCCATAGCTTTGATCCGCTGTTGTATGGCAGAGAAAGTTCTGTTGACAAGGACTAATTACCAGCATCAAACCACATGGCAAATTCCTGAAAAATACCTGCAGTACTGCAATGCGTCAAGTTGCAAGCATTGGGAGAGTCTAGACAACTCAAGACTGTATGTGAATTCTATGATCATAATCTATGAAGACAAGGAATACACTGATGGAATAGAAGTGGGTGATGAAAGCCTTACTACGCTATATTAGGTTGCACATACAGATGCCCAGGCAAAGGCATGTTGAAAAAATATTGAAAAGCAGGTCCTCCAAAAACCACACAGAATGGCATGTACTTTGCTCTCTATACACCACAGGCATTAACTGGCTCTCCCTCCTCACCACTGATTCTCTGTGCTCCTAGCATTTTCACTAATCCCTTGAAGTTATGAGACAATGCCCCAATTACAAAAAAACCCCGACAGCTAAATGCCAAGTAGTTGGAAGTTATATTCTACTGAACATACAGCATGTAAACATCTCCATTCTTGTCAACACGAAGTGTGGCAGTCCTCATTTTGCAAGTGAGGAACAGGAGCATGGGGAAATTTGGGGAAATTACATAACATAACAGAAGTCACACAAGCTGTGTGAAAAAGCTGCAACTTAGTACAGATGTTAGGTCCCAGCCCACAGCCTTCATCATGAGACTTGCATATCTGAAAGACTCACTGCAGATTAAGAAGCCAACTAATATACAAATCAGCACCACAAATATATAAAAATGTTGTATTTGGCACAAAAGCAAGGTTTCACAGTTCTATTAACAGACAAAGTCCCAGGGACTATATATTTCATAACACCTTATATACACAGCTACAGAATGCTACCTGAGGCTGCAACTTACACAAACAGATCTATACTGTACTTGCTAACCAGATCAGAAATCCTTCAGGTTAGTATTTTGCTGTTAAGAAACAAAAATCAGCACTGATACTTATTGCCTCTTTCGTCAGCAGTATGTTTAGTTCCAAAAATAAAACTTTCTGGTTCTACATCAGAGAACCTAAGAAGCACTTGAAGTTGTACTGTAATGAAGTTAATGAAAATAAAACAGGATTTACATGTCAATTCAACATAAAGACAAGAGCTACATATCAAAGTAAGAGAGATACTTGCAATAAAGTAACCAGCAAAACCTCAAAAACATTTTTTGACTGAAAAAAGTAAGTTAAGACGACTCCAGTTCTCTGCTCTTGACCCATTTTGAAACACAAGAATATATGGAACAGAGCAGTCAAATGTACAGTAACCTGGTAAAGCCTGCTATTCTTCTGTGTCATGGCAATATAAGGAAGGAGGAGACACTTAGCAAGTGACAGATCTTCTACTAGGATAGAGGCCTAGAAGCCTTCGTACTTGCCGTTTTTGTGTTCTTCCCCAGGTAGCTCCCCAATCTGCTCTCTGTCCTGCGATACCAATTACTCATCATAATGGGCATATTTAATTGTCGAGTCACTGATTCTTTCCTAAATACGTTAGCATCTCCCCAAGAAAGTTCAGCTTTTTGTTCCTCAAAAGAGAGTGTTGGGTTTTGGGGAATGGGGGAAGTGACATGTTTGAGGGGAGACAGAATAGCAAGGTGCATCCAAGAAAAATACTAGCAGCTAATAACAATAAATTGAAAAAAAAAGAAATATGGAAGATCTAACTTAGGCTTTCTTTGCCAGAAGGCACATCAAAAACAACAATAAAAACCAAACCCACTCCCCCCTACCCCCGCCCTGGTCAAACCACCACTTTCTCATCTCCCTGGATGCTTGGGTTTTTTTTCTGCTCTGCAATGTTCTTACTGTACATATCAGGAAATCACTTTTGCAAACTAATGTCCTACTATCACCACTTACCAAGTTTCAGTTCACAGTGAAGGACAGTTCCAAAAAGCGTGAACAGAATAATTTCCAGATGAAAGATGCACACCAAGAGTACACTTTTCATGCTCTAATCACTACTGGATGAGTCCATGAGACCAAGCCAGTCCAAAGCAAAATCCCCAATCCACACACAGTGTGAACATCATGCCTTCAGTACAAACTCTTTTGTTCTGCAAATTCACTCCTACTGAGCTGCACTACTTGCCAAGGTGGACGTTGCTTTATTTGCTTAACAGTAAATGAACAAGACAGTGAAAACTACTATGTGCTAAGTTACTAGCAATATAATTAATTGTTGTAAAACCATGGAACTATTTCTTTTCATTTTCAGGTGACTTCTATGTCACACTGTCTGGTATTGGCAGCATAATCAGTCTAATTTCTCCTATGCATAACCAACGTGGATGTGTGAATGACAGAAGAGAGGATGGTGGGAAGCAAACTATATAACAAGCTCTAAGGCAACTAAAATTTAAGTGACACACTTCAACGTTCTGGTACTTAAAGCTTCAGAGGAGAGGGATGGCAAGGATGAAGTCTGCAGTGGAGAGGAGGAATATCTTATCTTACACCTGAGTCATTTTCATTACCTAAGGACTGGCTGTCTTCCCATGGCTGTACAGATGTCACAGCATCTCAAAATCTAAGTTCAGTGCTTGAGAACAGCTTTCTCAGGCATTTACTTATGACTCCATAACAAAGACAGATCTATGGTCAGTTACCTCATAACTGCCTCCCTACAGCTAGCCTCAGAATTCAGCTGGGGAGGAACCGGGAAAAGAGAAGATTCAGAAATTCTCCTCCACTGCACAATGGCACGGTACGTAGATAAACTTCTTTGAAGAGCTTTTAATTAAAAAACCAAACTATTCTTTGAATTTTCAAAAGATCAGTTAGGTACGCCTATGATAAGTCAATTACAATTCTCCTGTCTCTCTGCCCTTACTTTATTTATGTTCTTATTGTATATTTTTAAAATGCAGTAGTTTAACTTTCCTAAATATTTTGGCTTAAAGACTGCTTAGATTCTTTTTGTGAAATGTAGAAATGTGTTTGTGACAACTTGCTCTGATCTTAAGGAAAGGAAGCATCATTAAAAGTCCTTAACAACCATTAGAATGCTAACAGTCTGCTTCCT